TTATTTGTAAGTAATCTGTACCCCTAACGTGGGGCTCGAACTAACAATCTCCAAATCAAGAGTCGCATGTTCTTCCGACTGAACCAGCCAGGAGCCCCTGTCTCCCTCTCTTTTTGACGGTTGGAGTTCTCCCTGCGTCCCTTTCCCTCGAGGTCTCTGTCTCCCCGTCTGAATTTATGTCCTCCTTCTCTGTGTCTCTGCCCACCTCCCACTGGATACAGCCCTGCGACAGGCAGGGCAGGGCTGGAGACTCCTGGGGACAGCGACCCCCCCTGTGGCTCCCGGCTCTACACCACCTAGCTGGGCCCGCAGAGCGGTGTGGTAGTCTGCCTGGGAACGCGTGACGTCACATGGAGGCTGTCTCCGGTTGGCTTGGCGCTCCCTGGAGGCGGGGCAGTTTCCGGCATGCCGGGGCTTTTGGAAAAGGGGGGAGGGGAGAGATGGACAGGAAGAAAATCCGGAGCGACTCGTCTTCCCTCGAACCTGCTCTCTCACCCGGAGTTACTTCCCCTCCCGTCCTCCGTCTTAACTCCAATTCCCGCACACCCTTCTCCCTCTCACACCTCTCCTTCCTCTCCATAACACCTCCTGCCCCTCAAAGACCCTCGCCTCCCCCAATCCTCTCCTCCTTGCCTCCTTCACCTCCCCCCATCCGGCGTCCAGCCACACCACCCCCATTCTGAAAGCCACAGGTCCCCCTGCCGGGAAGGGCGCCAACGTCCGGGCAGCCCTCCAGGGCCTTCCCGGTCTCCCCACCCACCCCGCTGGGGGCACTCGCCCCCTCCCCCGCGTCCGGTGCCCGCCGCGCCCGCTCCGGGAACCGCAGCCGGCCGGGCGCGGTCCCAGGAGGGGCAGCGGACAGTCCGGGGTCCCAGGTGGCCGCGGCCCCAGGCCTTCGGATGTGCTCTCGCCCAGAGGCGGGACTCCAGAGTCCCCAAGCCTCAGTGCCCTCCCTGCGGGCACGGAGACCTCCCCCCACCCCCCCCGCAGCCGTCCTGCCTACGCTGGGAAACCGGACCCTCCCTCCCAGCTCCGGTTTCCCGAAAACGCCTGACTTGCAGATACTAAGAATGGCTTTCGAGACCTTCTTATCCCCTTTGCCCCCATGGCGGAGTTTTGGCTCCAAGCCCTCACCCATTTTAGACCCCAGCCCCTTCCTCTTCCGCCTCCTGGGACTCAGGAGGGCAGGGCCTCATCCTCCTCCATTTTTCTGGAGCCAAGAATCTGAGCCCCAGACACAGAAGTCCAGGCCCCCGGGCCCTCCTCCGTCAGACTTGGGAGTCCTCGCCTCCAGCACCCTCATCCTGGGACCCAGGTGTCTGAACCTCAGGCCCCTCCACTGCCCCGGTTCCGGTTCCTGGCATTCAGCCATCCCTCCAGGTCCAGATGTCATCTCTCACCCTTTAGAACACGCAGAAGGAATGTGGGGCAGCAGGGGAGGATGGGGAGGGGAGTCTGATGCCTCCCGGAGGCTCCTGGGAGTCTCCGGACTCCTTAAAGGGCTCCCCCCCTGGGGGCCCACCTGTCCTCCTTAGGGCCCTGAGGGACAAAGCTGTGGTCAGAGGAGCGAGAAGAGGTCTGCCGACATGCCTGAGGCGAAACCAGGTGGCTTTCAGAACTGCCCCCCCCCCCCCCATGTGGAGATGAGGTCCTCTTTTCTGAATGGGGACTAAGGGTTCCTCTCTTTGTAGGTTTGGGAGAATGGGATTATCTTCTCCATGTGGGAGGGGTTCCCTTCCTTGTGTGGGTGGGGGTGCCTTTCCCTGTGCAGTGAGGGTGTTCCTTTCTCTGTGGGGATTTGGGGGGCGGATCTCTGGGTACAGATGGAGATTCTCTGAATTTGAGTGCTTTCTCTCCATAGGGATGGGAGTGCTGTGTATGTAGACCTGGGGAGTCTTTGCATGGTGACGGGGGTCCTCTACATTTGGGGATGGGTTCCTCTCCATGGGGACGGGGGCCGCTTCTCTGAGTGAGGACCGAGTCCTTTCTCTGCAGGGGAAAGAAGTCCTTGTATGTGCAGAGATTAGGGGTTCCTGTCTGCGTGATGAGGAGAGCTCTGGTCTGTACAAGGGGACAAGACAAGGAGGGGACCTCCTCTCTATGGGAATCGGGGCTTCGCCATGAAGGAGTTAGGGGGCTTTCTTCATACAGGGGCCAGAGGCCCTACGTGCAGTTGGGGGCCCTTCTTTGAATGGCACTGGGGGCATTTGTTTACACGGAAATGAGGCTTTCTCTGTATGAAGAAGTGAACCGAAGAGAAGAGATGCAAACCCCCAGAGGGGACCCTCCTCCTCGGGTGCCCAGACCGCTGGCACCAGGCCCACCTGGCTGTGGCGTGGGGGTCCAGCCCTTCACTGCAGCTAGCCAGGAGCCAGCAGGCAGGGGCGGGTGGAAGATGCTGTGGTCAGCACAGGTGTCCAGTTTCCAGCCCAGGGGAAGAGCTAATTATACCCCCAGGACCCGAAAGGTCAGGGCCCGGTGGCCCGGGTGGATGGGACATGGCCTGCCTGGGGCAAGGGGAAACCTGATCGTTGAGACTCTCAATTTACGCCTGGAAGGGCTGGACTTCTGGGTCTGAGGGAGGAGGGGCCTGGGGACCCGGACTCCTGGGTTCTGGAAGAAGAGGGCACCGAGCTCTTGCTCAACTGTGAACATCTTTTACCTCACAGCGGCCAAAACGGCCCCCAAAGGCAAAGATGAGGCCAAACCAGCTCCGAAGGAAGCGGCCCCTCAGGAGGCGCCTGCACAGCCCCCCAAAGGTGAGACGATGTTCCTGTGGGGTCAGCAGAACGTGGCTCTTCATCCCCCGGGCTCTCCTTGCCCCTCAGCGCCCACCCTGCCCTCTCTCCTTTAGCCCTACCTCCAGAGGTAACCCGCCCTCCCCTGCTCACAGCCCTCCGTGGCTCCCCAGTGCCCCAGGTCAGAGCCCAGCCCCCTCAGCCTGGCCCTCGAGCCCCCAGCAACTGGCCGATTCCACCGAGTCTTGTCCAGCCCTGGACCCCACTTCACACCTCTCCTACCCCAAGCCCCATTCAAACAATCCAGTCTACCACCCTGCAATTCACACATGGGGAAACTGAGGCCCAAAGGGGGACACGTGGTCTTTCCCACGTCAGGAAAAGCCACTTTGCCCCGTGATCTTTGGCATCTGAGCAGAGGGTCCCTCAGACTCTGAGCCCTGCCCCTTAAGTGCCCTGCCGCCCCTTCCTCAGCCTGCCTCAGACCCCCTAATCCTGTCTCCTGAGCAGAAGTCCCACCTGAGGACCAGTCTCCCACTGCTGAGGAGCCCACTGGCCTTTTCCTGAAGAAGCCGGACTCTGTGTCGGTGGAGAATGGTGAGAGGGGCTGGGGACCAGGGCTCCTGGGTCTGAGGGAGGAGGGGCTGGGGTTCCCAACTTCACAGTCCTCTCTGTGGAGTCTCATGGTTTCCGTCTGGGGGGGCCCCCCCCCCCCCCCAGGAAAAGACACAGTGATCGTGGCCAAGGTGAACGGGAAGGAGCTCCCAGGGAAACCAGCCATCAAGTGGTTCAAGGGAAAGTGGCTGGAACTGGGCAGCAAGAGCGGGGCCCGATTCTCTTTCAAGGAGTCTCACGACTCTGCCAGCAATGTGAGGACCCCGTGGGGGCGTGAGGGCACGTGGGCGAGGGGTGGAGGTTGTGCGGCCCCCGATTCTCAGAAGGCGTGTGGCCTGAGGCCTGGAGCCCCCGTAGGTGGCAAATGGGACTTTGAGGGATGGCGATTGTGCGGGGCAGGAGGAGACGATGTGTGGGTTAGGGCAGGTGCGCTTGGGCACAGTGTGTGCATTTCCTGGAAGGTCTCAGGGGTCAGGGGTGTGGGTCCCCTAGGGACCAAGCTTGCCCAGGCATGGGAAGGGACAGCTGGTCCCTCCTGTGGGGCCAGGGTGAGGCCCCGGAGACGGAGTAGTGAGGTGGGCTCTTGCGGGGGGTGGGGAGGCTGCTGGGGAGTCACATGCACCCACACCTCTGGCCCCGGCCCCCAGGTATACACCGTGGAGCTGCACATTGGGAAGGTGGTACTGGGCGACCGCGGGAATTACCGCCTTGAGGTCAAAGCCAAGGATGTCTGCGACAGCTGTGCCTTCAACATCGATGTGGAGGGTGCGCTGGTGGGGGTGGGGGGGAGCAAAGGGTCGGGCCGGGGTGGGGGTTTCGGCCTGGTGTAGGAGAGCATACACATGTGGGGGTACGATTCAGGGGAGGAGGGAGCAGATGCAGGGGTCAGGGCCTTCAGCACTGGGGAGACACGAGGAGGTGTGTGGGCTTGGGGGTGAGAGGGTTCAGGTTTTGGGTCCCCATGCGAACGCTTAGAAGGTGACTTGAGTGGGTTCCAGGGTCACAGTGCACAGGCTTGAGAAGGTAGCGATACGGGCTTGGAACGTGAGGTTGAAGGTGAGGGTGTACAAGCTTAGCCCCCAGATTTGGGGGCATATGTGTGGGCCCCTGAGGGTGTACGCGCTCTGGGGTCTACAGCCCAGGGTGTATGGGGCTTAGATATGGAGGATGCAGGGAATGAGGTCTGGGGAGAAGAGCGTGCTGGCCTGGGCGTGTGGGGGTACGGGCTGCTGAGT